ATTCAGTGATGAGCACAACAACATTAGAAATGCAGAGGCACAGATAACTGAGTATGCATGAATCATCTTCAACAGCCCGGTCAGCTGGTGATTTTGCCATCTTCTCACTACTTCTGGACTGGATGACAAATTGGGCAGAGTAACAACGTTGTCATTTTGCCATTTACGAAATTGCAGGGTACATTTCAAAATAAGATTAAATTTCCAAAAGCAATAAGAGAACCAATCAGTAGGCGAGTTCTGATGGGTAAAATGAGCAAAGTGATGAGAGCTAATGGATATGAACAGACTGAGCCTCCGAGCCTCCAGTTTTTTCCCTGCAGTCAAATCAGTGCCCATTCATTTCCTCAGCAAGCCAACAGAACTAATTAAAGCCCCCTGCTGCTGCTGATTCATAATGAAAGAATAAGGCTAAGATCACAGTGGGCATGTCTTCATTGTTTACGCTGGCCACACGTCTGGGTTTAAAACCGTCGGAAAACATTGCCGTGCTTGTTTGCGGCAGATCACAAGAGCCTTTCAGCTCTGTTAATTACTGCCGATCCACACGCCGGTTGCCACAATATTTTCACAGAGAGCAGCAGATACCTACAGAAAACCGACTCCCGCACATAGGAGACGGTAATTATTCGACAGCACCTCAGAGCATATTACTGGCATGTGAAGAGAGCGAGTACGGCATGAAAAAATATCACTGTGATGCAGGTCCAAAATCAACCAGAAGCTTGGCAGCTCTGAAGCCGGCGAGAGTCTCTGTGAAGTAGTTGGCTGGACCAGAGCATGACACAATGTGTGCCACTGTGGTTTCACTCTGAACCGCAGAGCATGTTAACACTGCAGTCCACACAAGCCTGTTTATCTAATCCCCACACAGTACAGCGGAAAAACCAAATGGCACTAAATAAATGAAAAAAAGATAAAAATAGATAGAGAGATAGACAGATAGATTTGTACATACATTTGTAGTGTGTAGTAGTGACTATATACTGTAATAAGTAAATGTTATTATTGATCACTTTAGCCTTGTCATTTGAATAGTAGCTATGCTGAAAAAAAGTGTGGACAATAGTGGATTTACAGTTAGTGACCTGTCAGCCCTACGCTTGTATTAGAATGTGTTAAAATAATTTAAAAAACAATGAGCTGCTTTTAACTCTCTGTACTGCTCAAGAATTTTTTCAAGAATGTTGGTTAGAATGGGCATGGACAAACACATGTACATTCTTGTCTTTTACCTGTAGGAGACAGAAGTAGTGCCTGTATTTCCATTTTGAAAATGCCAACTTTTTGCAGTGGCTGAGAGTTAATTTAAGAGTTAAAATGCGGACCGTTTATTTGATGAGAAGGTAACAGTGTTGTAACAATGGACATAGAAATTAGTGAAATTACATGTTACTGTGAAAAAAATCCATTAGTAATGCCATTTATTTTAACGCCATTATTCCCATCAGTGGTCACTAGAGCATCCATCCCTACATCGATTCCTCTAGGTTTAGATTGTGTTTTATTTCTGTAAATATATTGGAAACAGACACAATGCTTTAACTGCACTGATGCAGTAAATCAACAGCTGCAGTCAGGGTTAATATATAAAGTTTTCACCTTTGAGTGAACTCGTTTTTCCATCACTTGGATTTGTAATCCATCCTACTGATGTCTATTTTACTGCTGTCAAATTTACATTTCTGTAAATGTAACTTTGATAATAACCGATCCAAACTAGCGGGCAGTTATAGATTAACTATTTCAAAGAGATTTCCTGAGAGTGTTCCTTTTATCATGTCATGAAAATATGTCTGCAAATTACAAAAATTAACAACATCAACAGAGGAGGTACTATATATACAGTATATATAAAGTGGAACCGTGTGACAATACCACAATATCAGCAACGAGAGAGGACAAAAAGGAAGTCAAGATTTTGCCTGCACACAATCCGATACAAGGTAGAACATAAATGACCTTATTCACTTAGTGTCTGAATATTGGTTTAACTTTTAAATTAAACCCGCAAGTGACAAAGTCTCCTTTAAAAGTGAGCGGCTACTGCTGCAGTGTGGAGTCTCACATTGATTAAATGTCTCTCATCCAGGCCTTTGTGAAGATTACCTACCTCTGAGGGAGGAGCTGATTGATTGATTCTGCCTTCCTGTGAGAAGCAGGGTTACTGGATCCCTGTGACTTTTCTACAGATATCTCCTCATGTACAGAAAGTCATAGTTAACTAAGAAATAAGGAAGAATTTTCTTTTAACTCAAACAGTTAACCATGTACTTTTATTTTTGGAGAAGAACCAATTCCGTCTTGTCATTTTATCAGGGTCACCACAGTGGTGGTCAGCACCAGTCGAGCCCCCAATAAAATGATGTCCAAACACAGATAAATGTATAAAATCAGCATAGTTCTTAAAAGGTTTTTGAATTTGAATTTGATTGGATAAAAATGACTGATATTCCAATATCAATATCACTTATCCATTTGATTCCTAATCAATTCTCAAACTCAAATCAATTCTTCAAACAATTGTCATTGGTTTAGGAAAAAAAAAAAGTACAAACGGGGGTTGTTTGGCATTTAAAATAGAAAAGTTCTCTGCAAAACCTGCAACTACCAACGTCTGCAAATTAACAATGTTCTTTTAACAAAGAAGCTTGAGGGGTCCACAGAGCGCTTTAAAATGTTATGTTGACCTTTGACCATGAAATTCTAACTGGTGTGAGAGGCGATGTCCAGAAATGTCCCGTAGGCGTGCTCTGAGGTACGTCCTTGCCTCCACAAAGACAAACTGACAAGAGGTCAGAGTCAGAATACTGATGGATTCCTGAGAGGAATTAGCAGATAAGTCACAGTGGCCTTGACCTTTAGCAACGACAACCTAATCAAATAATCCTTGACCACAGTTGACCAATTATACCAAACACCAAGAAATACTAAGTTTCAGACGTGAACATGGTTAGTATCATTGTCTATGGGTTTCCAGTTTCGGGAACCCCCGACCTAAACCACAGATTAACACGTAGTCCCATGACACAGTTTTCATAGCCAGCAAATCCTGTTTTTCCCAGTTAGAACCCACCATGGGTGGGAGAGAACATCTTAATGAGCTAAATTACATAAGAAGGAATAATCCATGTGTGGGTTATGTGTGTGAAACACACACACACATACAAACATTAAATTCTTTCTATTGCCCCTGAAATGAACAGAACAGAGGAGTTGTCGAGGATCCCAGGGTTAGATTTTTATCTTTACAACACAAGTGCAAGTCCTGGACACAACAGTGTTCCTCTGCCGTTCCCTTGTAGATATGTCCCTGCTGGTAAATGTCACGTCAATATTCACTGGCAGCTAATTAATCTGAGCTCCCATAGAACCTGCTATCTTTACTTCCTACTGGAATACAAATGGCTCAGTGGCTGGACCTCTGCTCCTAATACATACATGTATTAGCCCAGAACGCTAGCACAAAATGATGCAGTTCATATGCTAAATTAATGTTGTTATTTCTATGAAAATTGTATTATTTCAGAGAGAGAAAAACACAGCATACCTGAACGTGTGTTTCCCTGTGGGCTGAGGATGTTTATGTTGTGCTAGAAAAGAGCGACAGCTTCAGCGATACGTGAGAGTGGCTGATTATTAAAGTTGAATACGATAATAATTTTTATTTGTGTACACTTTTCCCGATTCCCTTTTGTTTTGTAAGTGACTTTATGTATATAGTTAGCGCTGTAAAAATTAGAGTTAACCGCATTAACTAATTTGTGAACATTAATCCAATCTAAATTTGAAGGTATTTCAACGCAGAGGCAGAAGGACACGTATTCAATGTCAACCGTCAATTCACTTGTTTTCACACACGGTTGATACAAAAGAGCATCTAATCCAGCAGAGGCTTCAACTTCCTATCAGACCAGCCTCACTGAGCGCAGGAGAGTAAATACGTCTGTGACTGACACAACTGTCAAATGGATTGTCAGGAACCGTACACTGATTAATTATTGTTGGATATTGAGGACAACAGCAACTCTCAACACATTCTACAAGCCACCATCAAGATACATGGTAATGACTAACAACCAATCGAAAAATGAACATAGTTTTTCCAATTTGTGGGTAGGATTTGAGTTACATTTGAGGCACAAATAAAAACTGCTGTAAAAGACATACATTTACCTGCTGGCAAAGGCAAGGCAAACAAACAATCAATGGTTTTGTCATATTTAGAACTGATAATTGACCATTAATTGTGATTAATCCACAGCTACACACTACCATTCGAATTAATTGACAGCCCTTATTATATGGATTCAGAGTATATTATTTCTGAGTTCAGACATGGTGTGTGCCTGCTGTTTTTGGTGGATTGTCTGGAGCTCAGGGCTTACCTTTCCTACGTAGACTAACAGCCTGGCATTGAGAGGGTTTTCATCAGGACTTAGCCAGAGCTCGGAGTTATCATCTGATGACACCGAGAACTGGAAGTCACCTAAGAAAAAACAAACAAGAATAAGTTATCGGACATATTTGAGATGATATTGATATATCCAAATTAAAAATCCAGTATGGAGTCTATTTTTCCAAAACATAGTTCTATTTAATCAAAAAAAGAAGTTAATTCCAACACAGGGAATGACTTTTAATTTGAAGTAGCATTTGTCAGTTAATATATAGAGTATATATACATTTGTAATTTCACAGCAAACTACTGCAGTGAAATCAGATGACAAGTGTATATAATTGATAAATGTGTGTGTAAACCTTTAGTTCTGACAAAACTGTGATAGTGACCATGTGGACACAAATGCAGTGATTTCCATCTACTTATTTACTGCATGTTTGTCTTTGTTCGTTTGTGGCAAGCAGAACAGATGAATACTTGAGATCCTCAGAACTGTTGAAGAATATCTTTATGTGTCTTTCTTCAATTCCTTTGATGATATCCACATTGTGTTCAACTAAACAGGCAGTTTTCACACCGAGTTCACACGTTTCTTCATTACATTGAAGATCATCATATTTTATTACATATAATGTTGCATTATTAGTGGTGCATGAGAGATTTTATTTAAGTTAAGATAATTTCATTGGCAGAATTGAACACCACCACATCTACTAAGCATCAGCTCAGGGTTGTACTTCACAGGGTGGGGTGAAGGGCACTTGTGTGGTCCTTGTCAGTATCCTGAGGAGGGTAAGGCCTTTGAGCCGTCACATTAAAAGAGCCTTACACTAATGAAAGCAACGCAAGAGAGCGAAATGAGCAGTAATCCAATTAATAAGTTCATATACTGCAATTTGTGTAAGGGCACACGGGTTTAACAGTGTTTCAGTTCCCATGGCAACTGGGTGAGGGGACTCTGCAGTGAGATGAGCTTCTCTAATCTTGGGTATTCAATTTCAATGGAAACCAGGATATCCACTAAATCAGTGTCTGAGAAGTGTCTGGGTGAGACAGCCATGAAGACTGTCTCCTACTGAAGGACATGAAGACATTACAGTGTCAAGGTCATCAGTAATAAGATGCAATGGTTACCATCTCTGTAAGGGTGAAGGAAGCCAAATATTCTCAGGCCATAGTTCTTCCACTTTGGAGCCACTGCCAGCTTCTTCACAGTAGTTCTGGTCTGGGGGGTTGGGGAAAACACAAAAAACATTTTCATGTGTTAGGTTAATATTATCAAGCAGCTGGGCACAGATATGACATCATACCTGAACATCTAACAGGACAGCACTACAAATATATTCACCTGGTCTGAGTTGAATACAACTTTTTAGATGTACAGCATTAACTTAGTGAAGTTGACACGACAGTCTACTAAGTATTCATTATTCTCTATTCTCTGCTATCCAGGAACAATAATTATGTTTAGCACCAGTTACAATGAAAGGCTATGATAGAGAATGTCTAATAAAGATGTCAAGATAAACTAATGATAATGATGACGACAATAAGATCAGGAATTACAGTCACTCATATTTCCCCTGTGTGTTAGTTTTAACCAGTGTATTCAAGTGTCAATATACACCGAAAGTAAATCTGCCCATTTTTATTAACACTAAATACAAATTGATGGTTTCACAAAATCAGAATTTCAAGGCAAATAAAAAAGGCAAAAAATACAAGACACATAAAATATAGAATTATACATAATGTAATATGAATAACAAGAAAGAGAACGAAATGTGATTCCTTTTTTTTTTTTTTCATCTTATGTTGTAGGTGTTAAAGTGTTCATACTTACGTGCGGGTAAAGAGGGAAGTGCAGGTTCTTTCTGAGTTGGGCTATGGAGGAGCCACACCAGTCCTCAAACACATGCAGATTGGCAAGGCCTTTATACTGCAATACACAGTTTGGATACGTATTAACTAAACTTCAATGTACACAAAAAGCATCTTTTTTTGGCATTTACTAGAAATGGCATCAAGGGCCCTGTCGTTGAACGGCGGTTGGCCAATAAAGCATGCTCGGGCGCCGCCCATAGGGTTAACATTTTTTAAATAAACAAGAATCACTTATTTTGAGTATAAGTGAACATAACATATAATTTATAAAATATAAGTTAATTTCAACACATTTCAAGAATCACTTATTTTGAGTATAAGTGTACATAACATATAATTTATAAAATTTAATTATAAAAGTTAATTTCAACACATTCTTTTCAGTAAAGCAATATATTTGTGGTGAATAATGTGACTACAGAGTGGAGATTCAAATATCTTCACTGCCGTGAAAAAGTAAAAAAAAACCCAAAACTTAAATAACAGTTTGTCATGAGTTTGGGGATGAGGTTAAATTGAGAATGTCTAGAGCGGTTTGTCATGACTCAGCTTTGCTCATTTTTTGACATCTACTCTTTACACGGGAAAAAATTGCAGGACACAACCAGAACACCAGGGTGATACCAGTTTGCCTTAGGGTGTTTGTCTACTTACACAGTGAAACATGGCACTGCCTCTACACGCGGAAAAGTCTCTAATGACTTGTGTCAAACCTACAATGATAATGGTACAAAACTGTAAACGTAAGCTCTGAATGGTTGCTACTGGGCGGATGAAAACGTGTGTGAGTGTGTTTGAAAGTCCACAGAGGCCTATAGGCCAATACACTGTATGTGTGCACTTGCCAACCAAGTCTGTCACATCACACACATTTCATTAGCGGTTAGCCAAAGTGGCAAAACAGTGTGGGTTTTAGTTTTGTGCTATTGATGCGTAATGCCAAGTATTCTTCTATTGGCTCCCCTAGCTTTATTTGTGCAAAAACTGTAATCTTTTGGATTAGGTTTTAGTTATCTAACAACAAACAAACAAAAACGCAGTTAGTTGTCAGACAGGTGAGATACTGTATATAATTACAGCTTCATCCTCATCAACTGCCCTGAAACTAATCTCTCTTTTTGGTATTTCTTTTGCAGCCTTTTGTGAAACTAATAGGTGTAGAGGTGGAGCTTTTCCTAGTGAATTGTAGTTTATAGAAAAGCCAGAGGCTGCTGCTCACTCAATTTATATGTCAATAACCTGGGATGTTTGTCTGAGGAATCACCAAAGGAATCACCAGCAAAAGATCTAACACTGTTATCAAATTGGGAGAGAAGTATCTTCAACTGATCTTAAAAATGACTGTATTTATTACCAGTAAAATCATCAGATTGGTGGCAAAGACAACCTGGTGCTGCAAAACCTTTTGCAGAGCATGACTTTTTCAGTCAGATTCAAGTGGTG